GTCTCAAAGAACAGAAAGTGTAGTATTATAGTATAAAATAAAAGGATTTTTTTAATGCTTATATGTTATAATATAGAGGACTTGAGGTCGATCTCTAATGAAACGCATAAAGTAACTTCCAGTATATATATTTCTTATAACTTTTACTAGAGGGTTCAGAAAATGTGTATCAAGATCACACGTGTTAGACTGAAAGTACAATGCCCCGTATCCGTTCTATCTCATTCCGGTGAATCTTGTGGAACTTGTTTTAGGCGGCCCGCTTCTTAATTCTGGGGGTTTGCTCAGAAATTATTTAACAATGAAAAAAAATAATTCTGCTATTAAATAAAATCAATTTTAAAAACTAAATTCATATCATATTATCAAAATTAGGTAATTTTATCCAGTCTTCTATACCATACATACCATAACAGCCTTTTCAAAATTGCCATCGGGAATTCACAATAAAACGCTTCCATTTACCGACTTCAATGATAGCTTCTACCTTTGTGTTTTGACTCATAAAAATGTTTTCCGGGGTTGCTTTTTTTAGTTGGAAAATATTTTTATCTATTTATAAAATAAATTTTCGAAAATTGGATTTTTTTCGGAGATGGTTGAAAATAAATGCACTTGAAAGCTGAATTCCATCTAAATTCTAAAGTTTTAAAATACGTGGATAGCTTCACTCTGTTTGCAAATATTATTTTTGCTAAACTAATAATAAACCTAGATACAAATTAAAACTATTTTTATGATTGATTTATTTCATGAAAAAAACTGTTAATTGAAAAAGAATTGACTATAATAATATACATATACGTCATTTGGTTTACTTTCACACGCACCTCTGCCCCTTTAGTAAAAGTAAGATTAGTAGCGATTAAAAGCGCTTATTTTTCATTTTCAGCGAACACTCCCTTTAAAGAACTTAAAGAAATATAAGTATGATGGAAATCATACTACTAGTATTAATATTAATTTATATCCTGAACCAAAAGCTGTACCCTCAAATAAGCTTTTCTGACATCCTGCAATACATTGACCGAAGATAAGGTATCGTAAAGTTGATAGTTTCTGATTTTTTTTTTAAAATGAAACATTTAAATGAATGTGTTTTCCCTTAGGTTAATTTAGAAATTTATTAATTTAGCCTGTCCCTAGTGCTACGCTGCTAGTAAGTTTATATTTCGTAGCACTATCATTAGATGAATGTCTACTGTCCCTAGTGCTACGCTGCTAGTAAGTTTATATTTCGTAGCACTATCATTAGATGAATGTCTACTGTCCCTAGTGCTACGCTGCTAGTAAGTTTATATTTCGTAGCACTATCATTAGATGAATGTCTACTGCAAATTTATCTGTAACGGTGCTTTAATAAGTATTTTACTAAGAGTAATAAAAAGTCAAAGTTAAAGCAAAATGAAATCACTCCTGTATGCCGAGTCCATTAGCGCCTGATCCAATCAGAGTTCAGCCATGTGTTTGTTGTCTAATCTGAACCAATAGAAATAGTATGGCGGTAACATCTATCTTTCTATCTATCTCATTATCGAATCAGAGAGTTATGAATCCTTCAATTGGAGCCATTAGTAAATGGGAATATTTACTTCTACTGAATCTATAGTGAAATGAACGAAAATAACCTGAATTTACTCTTTAAAGGGACTGTACCTAGATTAAATAATCCTCTGTTATTACACATAAAAGCTTTAATCAAGGGTGATGGTGATATCAATTTTTTAGCTTTAAAAATTGTAGTTTGAATTTCTATTAAAAGCTTCAGATGACTGGTACAAAAACACCAAAGGAAAATGTCAGCCGTATACCTTTAACATTTCTCCCGTAATATATTTATCAGATACTGGTGTTAATGTGAATCGGGTTCGTTTAGCTAACTTCAATCCAATAATATAGCATACCTAACCTATTTTATATAATAATAACATGTATTGTCCCGAAACCAATTAGTCGTCATTTATAAACTTTTTTTACTTTTTTATATAATGGATATCCACTGTCTATGAATATATAATGGATATCCACCCTCCACTTTCTATGAATATATAATGGATATCCCCTGTCTATGAATATATGATGGATATCCACTGTCTATGAATATAAAATTGAAATCCCTTGTCAATGAATATATAATGGATATCCACTGTCTATGAATATATAACTGATATCCACTGTCTATGAATATATAATGGATATCCGCTGTCTATTGATTGTTCCTTCTACTCTAGTAATGCTGAAGTATGGGTAATAATAACTCCTTGAAACAGTATTGTCAATATACTTAGGTCTCTCACACTACAATACACACCAGAATAAGGAATGATTGGAATAAGAAATAATAATTGGCCTCAAGCATTCTTTGCATAGTGAATAATGTTTTTTTGCATTTTCTGATTTAGGTTTGTTTATGTTTTCATCTAACAATATTTTTAAAACTTTTTTTCATTTTTTTACCAATTTTTTAGTACAAAGCTTTTAGGGCGTTTCGCGCCTATCTTCTATTTTAATTGTGAACATGTTCTCAATTGTAACATTAAAAAATTTCGCAGATTTTATAAAAATTTTGCGGATTTCAAGATTTTAAATTTTTTACGAAAATGAAAAAAATTTAAACACAATTTTTAAAATTTTTATCTTTCATATACCTTCCCTTGGGTCACGCGAGATCCCGCAAAAAAATTGGACCAGATCGGTTCAGCCGTTTTGACGTTTATTGGATACAAACAAACAGACAGACAAGCCAAAGGAATTGAGTCTTTGCCACAAACTCGGATTTTTAAATCCCAATTTCTTCAAAACCAAATGTCGTAGACCGTAGATACTTCAAACTATGAATTCAGGTGGATCAAACAATGTAAGTTTGAAATATGAAAGGTATGCATCATCTGGTTGTTGAGATTTAGGTAATATAAAATTGGCATTTGTGGCAAAAACTCAATTCCTTTATATATAGATTGATTTTGATGGTAATTATATCTTAGAAGTTAGAACTGAATAAGGTCAATCCCAGTCCAAAATATATTTTTTTAAATATGAAAATAACATCTGTTTTATTTATTTTATAAACCAAGACAAATAAATAATTTAAAAATACACAACAATATATTGTAAAATAAGTTGCTCTTAGCGTTGGCATATGTGGAGTTTAATACATATAAAAATAGACTTCTAATTTTAATTGTTATAGATGTTGAAAGGTTTAAAAAAATTAAAAGTTGGAATCAACAACAAAACAGTGTTTTATTTTCTTCGTAATTGCAGAACTCAACATTTTGCGAATTTTTCTTTTAACATCGATTGATTTTTTCCATATTTTCCAGTGAAAATGTTTCATTTTTGAGCGTGCAGGCTCTTGTCAGGTGGGTTGCCATACAAATGTGGGTCCAATCGATTTAGCCTTTTGGAAGTTTTTGGAAACAGACAGACAAGTTTCTAGGATACAGACAGACAAGTTTCTAGGATACAGGCAAACAAGGTTCTAGGCTACAGATAGACAAATTTCTAGGATACAGACAGACAAGTTTCTAGGATACAGACAGACAAGTTTCTAGGATATAGAAAGACAAGTTTCTAGGACACAGACAGACAAGTTTCTAGGATACAGACAGACAAGTTTCTAGGATACAGATAGACAAGTTTCTAGGATACAGACAGACAAGGTTCTAGGATACAGGCAGTCAAGGTTCTAGGATACAGACAGACAAGTTTCTAGGATACAGACAGACAAGGTTCTATGATACAGACCTACAAGTTTCTAGAATACAGACAGACAAGTTTCTAGGATACAGATAGACAAGTTTCTAGGATACAGACAAACAAGTTTCTAGGCTACAGACAGACAAGGTTCTAGGCTACAGACAGACAAGGTTCTAGGATATAGACAAACAAGTTTCTAGGATACCGACAGACAAGTTTCTAGGATACAGACAGACAAGGTTCTAGGATACAGACAGAAATGTTTCTAGGATACAGACAAACAAGTTTCTAGAACAAGTTTCTAGGATACAAACAGACAAGTTTCTAGGCTACAGACAGACAAGGTTCTAGAATACAGACAGACAATGTTCTAGGATACAGACAGACAAGGTTCTAGGATACAGACAGACAAGTATCTAGGATTAAGACCGACAAGTTGCTTGGATACAGACAGACAATTTTCTAATATACAAACAGACAAGTTTCTAGGATACAGACAGACAAGGTTCAGGATACAGGCAGTCAAGGTTCTAGGATACAGACAGACAAGTTTCTAGGATACAGACAGACAAGGTTCTATGATACAGACCTACAAGTTTCTAGGATACAGACAGACAAGTTTCTAGGATACAGATAGACAAGTTTCTAGGATACAGACAAACAAGTTTCTAGGCTACAGACAGACAAGCTTCTAGGATACAGACAGACAAGTTTCTAGAATACAGACAGACAAGGTTCTAAGATACAGGCAAACAAGGTTCTAAGCTACAAATAGACAAATTTCTAGGATACTGATAGACAAGTTTCTAGGATCCAAATAGACAAGTTTCTAGGATACAGACAGACAAGTTTCTAGGATACAGACAGACAAGGTTCTAGGCTACATATAGACAAGTTTCTAGGATACATATGTACAAGTTTCTAGGATACAGATAGACAAGTTTCTAGGATACAGACAGACAAGGTTCTAGGCTACAGACAGACAATTTTCTTGGATACAGACAGACAAGTTTCTAAGATACAGACAGACAAGGTTCTAGGCTACAGACAGACAAGTTTCTAGGATACAGACAGACAAGTTTCTAAGATACAGACAGACATGTTTCTAGGATACCGACAGACAAGTTTCTAGGATACCGACAGACAAGTTTCTAGGATACCGACAGACAAGTTTCTAGGATACCGACAGACAAGCAAAATTTATATTTAGGTGGAGTAAAACCACAGGGGTGAGGGGGGTAGAATCCAAACCAAACATAAAGAATATTCAGGAAACTACATTATAAATAATAACTAATGAAAACCAATTGCACCAATTTATTTCGCCAATATGTTTAACTTATCAATATTTCTTCTTTACTCATTTTGTTTAACAGGAAGGAAGAATTCTTAACGCCCCTGGTTCAAAACAATAGAATTCAGATTTAAACTCGTACAGGCATCCAGCCTTACAGCTAGGGTAGTTAGACTCCTGAAATAAACAAAATTAGAACTTGAGAACCAAACAGCAAATCTTCTATATAATAAAACAAGACATTCATATATATACATGTTGCGAATAGCCGGCCAAACGACTGGACCGTTTGGGCTGAAATTTTTTTTGGACACTTATGGGTGGCCGGGGGGTGTTAAAGGCTTGAAATTTAAAAAAAAATGAAATACTGTTATTCAAAAGTTTTTTTTCAATTTTTTTTACGGGATCTTCAGCTAGTCATCAATAATTATAATCTACAAAGCCTTGATATCTAAAGTTGATTTTTTTTTGTGGCTGAAAAACAGCTGACTTATCGCGCGCTGATAAAAATGCTTTATCTCTTTATCTGGTTTCACATTAAAGGTCTGAAGAAAGAGCTTGATACCTAAATTAAAGGTTTTTGAATGAATATTCAAAAGAAATTTCATTCTTCAGACCACAAAAGATACCAATTTATCAAATATTAGGTCTAATGTGTACATCCAAAAAAAGGAAATACATGAGCTAAAATTGGCTTGGTTTGTAGGTTATTTAGCTTTATGCGCAAATAGAAATATGTTCAAAAAGAAGATTTTAGCTCTTTCCTCGGTCAGCTTTAGGGCTAGAACTTCTAAAACGTTTGTAAATTATCTTAAAGCCATGATAAACAAATTCACCATTTTGATCAGCATATAACTTTGTGGATTTTTGAAAGATAAAAATTATTTTCCTATTTTTAGCCTGAAAAGGCCATAATCTTAACGATTATGGGTCGATTTGGAGAAAAACCCAACAGGAGCATTTACTAAATGAATTACCAAATCTATTTATCATGACTATAAGATAATTTATAGATGTTTTGAAAACTCTATCTCTAAACCTGACCATGGGAGAAACTTAAATAGGCTTTTTGCATATATTTCTTAATGCGCATTAGAGCTAAATAACCTACAAACCAAGCTGATTTTTGCTCTTGCATTTATTTTTCTTGGATTACATTGTACACATTAGATTTAGTTCTGAATCTGAATTAAACATAAAATGATCAGTTTTTTTGTACAATTTGAAAAATCTAAAAGACCTAATATTTGAGTAGTTTAACATGAGCAATACAAAAGTTTTGAACTCAGATCTGAAAACTGTTTTGTGACAACAGCTACAAATCTAAAAACTAGATTTTTTAAAAGCGCTTGAAAAACATGTCCCGTGTTAATATTGGTGAAAAAATAAGAAAAGGTTTTTTTTAACATTTTTCACCAGCGTTTTGGCATTTTTTCAATTAGTCTTTAATGAACTGCCCTTGAAAAGTTGTGCTATGAACATGCATTTCAACCCTAAACCTTTACCTTATATCTTTTTTTCAAGAGGGGGGGGCGTGGGACCCTGGGCTATATAGATAGATTCAGACCCCCAGCCTTTATAGGGTTAAGAAGAAAATCAAGAGTGTCCACAGTGGATACAAAGATTTAGCAATTGGGATTAAATGTGTCCAATACAAAAGTTTACAGCTCAGAGCCCAACAATTTAAAAGCTGCGACTCAAGTCATAATCTAATAAACCCAGGTTTAAGGCCTAATTTTAGACCCAACTCTGACAACAGGTTGTGTCACATGGTGAAAGCTGCGATGTCTTAGGCTCGACTTACGGAGTTAACCCAATAAAAATAAAACCAGATTTGGTTTCCAACCATGAAAATTCGCCAAACACAATATTAAACCGGTTTAATAAGCTCAACTCTGTGGAAAATTAATTGCAACTTATCACAAGACTCTCGCCGCAAATAAGTCCCAATGACAGCTTAGACCTAAGTTTTATATCTTTATTTTTTTTAAATCGCGGGCTCTGCACTGTTAACATGTTCCCACCTTGAGATTGTAAACTCCAGACAGAGGTCCGTCCAAAACTGTCTTACAAGGTAAACAAACACCCTAAACATGGATTCTCATTACAAATATTCTTTAGATATTTGATTTTCTAATAGATATAATAGTTACCGAGTTATCAGTTGCTGTATTAGTTGTGGAGATTGGAGATGAACTAGATACAGCAACTTCTGTAGGTAATGGAGAAGTATTAGAAGAAGGCATTGAAGTTGTATCTGTTGAAGTAAACGTGGTCGGTATTGGAGAATCGTTAGATATAGCAGAATCTGTAGGTAACGAAGAAGTATAGGATGTAGGCATTGGAGTTGTATCTGATGCTGTAAACATTGTAGGTATTGGAGAAGTATTAGATACAGCAAAATCTGTAGGTAATGGAGAAGTATCGGATGAAGGCATTGGAGTTGTATCTGATGTAGTAAAAGTGGTCGGTATTGGAGAATTGTTAGATATAGCAGAATCTGTAGGTAATTGAGAAGTATCGGATGTAGATATTGCAATTGTATCTGATGCAGTAAACGTGGTCGGTATTGGAGAAGTATTAGATACAGCAAAATCTGTAGGTAATGGAGAAGTATTAGAAGAAGGCATTGGAGTTGTATCTGATAATGAAGACGTGGTCGGTATTGGAGAATTGTTAGATATAGCAAAATCTGTAGGTAATGGAGAAGTATCGAATGTAGGCATTGGAGTTGTATTGGATGTAGGCATTGGAGTTGTATCTGATGCAGTAAAAGTGGTCGGTATTGGAGAAGTATTAGATACAGCAAAATCTGTAGGTAATGGAGAAGTATTAGAAGAAGGCATTGAAGTTGTATCTGATGAAGTAAACATGGTCGGTATTGGAGAATTGTTAGATATGGCAGAATCTGTAGGTAATGGAGAAGTATTTGATGTAGGCATTGGAGTTGTATCTGTTGAAGTAAAAGTGGTCGGTATTGGAGAATTGTTAGATATAGCAGAATCTGTAGGTAATGGAGAAGTATTAGAAGAAGTCATTGGAGTTGTATCTGATGAAGTAAACATGATCGGTATTGGAGAATTGTTAATTATAGCAGAATCTGTGGGTAATGGAGAGGTATTGGATGTAGGCATTGGAGTTGTATCTGAGGCAGTAAAAGTGGTCGGTATTGGAGTATTGTAAGATATAGCAGAATCTGTAGGTAATGGAGAAGTATTGGATGTAGGCATTGGAGTTGTATTCGATCCAGAAAAAGTTGTTGGGATTGGAGTTGTATCTGATGCAGTAAAAGTTGTTGGTATTGGAGAGGATGCTGATGCCTTGAAAGTAGTAGCTATAGGTGAAGATGAAGACACTCCTAAAACTGTTGTTGTTGCTTCAGTGCCTTGTCGCTTCTCTCTAGATGCAATATCCACCTCGTTGTTCATTCCTACTAGTTTTTACAATTATTATTTTTCAAGATCAGTTTATCTAAACAACATAAAACAAAAATGTTACCATTTCGAATCTCTAATGTTTCTTCATCAGCTGCAAGTTGGATATCAGACCCTTCAACCAACCCTCCCAAAATCTTTGAAATATTAATATTTTATTTCTTCATATACTTGGAAACTTAAAAAGGAATTTCTGAGTAACTGTCAATTGGTTGGGATTATCAAATCTCCCAACCATCGTAACTATTATTGTTAGAGTTCTAATTTTGTTTTGATATGAATGAGGTCACCTTGAAAAATTAGACATGTATTGCATCCATATACTTTTACGCTAAGGCCTTTTTCAAGAGGATGGGGAGCTACATAGATTCAAACACCCCAAGCATATAAAGTGTTTTTATAAAAGAATGATTCAGAAAGAAATTTCTAAACTCCTGGCCTCACCTGAAGCAAAAATAAAAAAGAAAGGAAAAGCATCATAACTTTGTGTCCTTAGATCACAAGGTTTAGGTTTATACTGAAGATAAAAGTCCACCTAGAGAAGGCATATTTAGAAAAACACCTGGATTATAATTAGCACATATTTTAAAATAGTATTTTATCTTACTTTGCAAAGTTAATGTTCTAGAAAAAAAATTCAATAATTTGTGTAAAAATTGAAATCTATTCTTCCATCTTTTCAAGCTAGAAATATTTTAAAATACCCAACCATCATGCCTCCTTTTTAATACCAATATTAATGATCAGATAACAGTTTAAAGTTACCATTGTGATCTGGTAAATTTTAAAATTTGGTCATTTCTGGTCCAAAATTAAATGCAGAGGATCTGAGATTCTGCCACGATCTCAAATGCAATAATTCTTTTAATTTTGCAACCAGATGGTGTAAACTTAAGATTTGTAAACTTTAGACTATTTTATAGAACAGAATTAATTTATAGTTCGAAATATGAAAGCTCTACAAATGATCTAGTTTCAGAGAAGAACTCAGTTCTTTTCACCAAAAAGTTATTTAAATTAATTTTTATTTAAAAACTGCATTGATATCCTAGTAATTATTAAATGTACAGGTGCTCTCTAAGATCCTTTATCTCAATCTTTACAATCTTTTACATTTGGCAATTTTTTTTCTTGTATTAGTCATTTATAATTTATTTTATTAATATGAAAACTGAACTACTTCTTAATATCTGGTTTTTCTGTTTGATTTTCTTTTCGTATCCAAAAAATGATAAATGTCAAAACGGCTAAACCCATCAGGCTCATATTCTTTGTACCAACCTAAATAACCCCAGAGCCCACGATTAAAAAAATCGGGAAAATATGCATCTTATTTTCCACAGAGTTGAGTTTAAAAATATTCTATTTGGAGGATTTGCATGGTTGGAATTGGCGCATTCCGGGTTCTTATTAGAACAAGACTCAACATTGAGCCTTATTCTCCACTAAAACCATGCAAGGTCGGTTTTATTTTCATTGGGCCTAACTCCTTAAGTCAAGCCGAAGATCTTCCAGCTGACAATTACAAAGTCAGGTTTAAGGAATTAAGGCTCAAGCCAAAGTTTTTAAATCGCGTACTCTAACACAGTTTGTGGTTGGTCAAAAATGAAAAAATTTTGTCTCCTTTTTTATTTAGAAAATCCATCAATTTAACAGAAAAATCTGCGATATTTTGAGTTCGAGAAAAAAAATAGAAGAACTTGTTAATCCTTCCAGGGGATTGAAGGCCACTGGAGGGTAATTATTTCCACCGGAATGAATACAGATTCCACTGGAGGGATGGTAATTAACACTCATGACACAAATTATTCCACTGCAAATCACCCTGGCACTAATGACTCCACCGAAGGGATTCTGATAACCACTCAGGACATTACTTATTCCACAGGAGGGATGCTACATATCACCCTGGGCAAAAATTAGTTCACCCAAGGGATGCTGATAACCACCCAAGACACTAATTACTCCACTTTTTATTAGCATCCCTCCGTTGAAGAAATTACTGCCTAGGGTGATCTGCAGCATCCATCTATATGGAGTATTTAGTGTCCTGAGTGGTTATCAGCATCCCTCCAGTGGAGTAATTAGTGCTAAGGATGATCATTCTTGTATGCCGAGCCCATTAGCCCCTGATCCGTTCAGAGTTAATTCATGTGTTTGGTGTCTATTCTGAACCAATAGAAATTGCATAGCGGTAACATCTATCTTTCTATCTATCTCATCATCCAATTAGAGATCAATCCTTATTGCGCGGCGGCGCTATACACTAAATGGAAAAATTTTCGTCTACAGAAACTATAGTGTGATTTGCAGCATCCCTCCAGTGCAGTGGAGTAATTACAGTCCTGAGAGGTTATCTTCAGCATCCCTCCGGTGGAGTAGTTAGTGCCCAGGGGGATTTGCAGCATCCCTCCAGTGGAGTAATTAGTGTCCTGAGTCATAACATCCCAGCAGTAGTTTACATTTTTTAAGTGTAGTGCTTTTTACCTCTGCATTATTTTAGTTTTATAATTCATGATTATGGCAAGTGATGATTTATCAAGTAGATTTTTTTTATAACTTTGAAAATTTGAATAAATGAAATTGAAAAATCTACGAAAAGTTTTGCAAATTAAAAAAACTATTCAAACTTGAATTTAAAGGAAATCTGGTGAATTTTAAAGCTAAAAGAGAGCCATCAAATTAATTAGAAGTATAATTATATAATCTGAATAAATTACAAAGTTTCTATAGAATTTGTCGGAATTCAACAATTCATTGATTAATACCAATTTAGTCGCAGAATATCTATGTTAATCCTAACACTGCATTCTACCCCCCTCCCCTGCCAGTTTGAGTTGGTTAGTTTTAAAGTTTTAACAGGCTAAACACTTGCCACAAACTCTGATTTGCTAATTATTATATCTTGGAAACCTTTGATATTTCAAATTTAGTCTATTTGATCAAATAGAATTCATAGTTTAGAAAGTTTCTATTTGTAAGTAGTTTTCAGTTCCATTAAATTTAAACTTTAATCATTCAATAAGCCTGAACTGAACGAATCAAAGTGAAGGTACTTTTTATATATTTCATTTTTACCCAAATAAAAGATTAGACAAATTGAATATTTATGGAATTCAATTACCTTTTATTTTTAGCAAACATTCTCTGTATAGTGAAAGAAAGCCAATTCTATATTTTTTGACGTTGGGTTTAATAAAGCATTAAATATTCCTTTTTATTTGAAATTCCTTTCAAGCTACTTTAAAAACTTTTTTAACTTTGATGATATTTATCGAAAAGAAGTTGAGGAAAAATTCCTTTAGTTCTATTGTAATCTTTCGTTGTTAATTTTTAAAATTTCTACAAACCCAAAGGAAAAAGGTAAAAAGTAATATCAAAGTAACTCTACAACTTTCATTGGCTTAATTGGATTATGAATTAAAGTTTGAGGCAAGTTTTCAAACCTTTTGTAAATTATGTCGAAACAAAAATATTTGAAGAATTGTCCAATGTTAAAATAAGCTTGGAACTCAGCTCTAGGTTTAAAATGTAATGTAATGTAAACTTGAAAAAGGAATGAAAGTGAAGAGGCTAAGATTGAGTGAAAGGACAAAACATATTTACATTCTAACGAAACAGAGAGTTAGTGTTGGATCAAAAAAGAACATTTAATCTAAATAACAGGAAATTTGTCTACGGCAAATATATTTCCTTCAGACCCTTCTGATTCGATACTTTGATGATAACTAACTTCGTCTTTGGACGTCTATTTTTTTTATTTTTTCTAGAGCTTAATTTACTATTTCTATCACTCGCAACTAGGTATGTTAACGTTTCATTTTTTTGAAAAACAATCGTTTTGTGATGAAAACGACCACAAATCCCGGAAACGATCATTCTTTACGTTTTTTAAAACAATCATCTCAAAGATTGTTTTTAAAAACAATTGTTTTTCAAAATGATTGTTTTTATACAGCTCTCCCTTTCGTTAACAATTGTTAACGACGACCCTTTGTTAACGATTGTTAATGACGAACATTCGTTAATGATCGTTAACAAAGAGAGGAGGAGAGAGGACCCCACCCTGAAGGGCATCAGTACTTATCATTTAGCAGTTTTAAAGAAAATATCAAGAAGTTTTAGCTCCCCACAACTTTTTACCTTAATGCATGACAACATTCCATAAAGTTGAATTTAATTTTTTCATCGTTTCGTTAGCAATTGTTATAACAACCCTTTTTTAACAATTGTTGTCAATGACTCTAATTGTTAACCATCATTAACTGCATATTTAACATTTTTCCTGCCTTCCTCATCTTTCTCTTGAGAAAACTTCTTCAGAAGTTTCGTGAAGAATTCTCCTATTTCATAATTTGCGAATACTAAACCGGAAACATGCAACATATAGCACTATATCTTGTCTGGCTGACCCTGTGATGCATGACAACAGCATTGTCTTCCCTTTATCATTTGGGATTGTTTCCCAGTCATAAGTATCCAAGTGTGTCTCCAGTTTCTCGCACCATTTGAACACCTTTTCTGGATTTCCATCATATTTTGGGGTTTCATGTGTGAAATCCAACCAATTCTTCTTATGTCCAGCTACAACCCTGCTCCTGTCTGCAGGCAGCTTTAAAGTACCCCTTTCGGCAATAGTTTCCTCTTGCAGGGTTTGCAATTATTCCTGTGTTTCATCCATTAATTTTGTCTGCTCTAGCATTGCTTTCACTCTTGCAATTGGATAGTGCGTTTCCGGTGTAGGGTTATTCTCCCATGTCTGTACCCTTATCTACTTCCTTCTTTTTCACTGCTTGTAGTTCCTTAGTGTTTCCATTTCCGCATCAGCAATCTCCATTTGCTTCATTTTCCGCATCATCACTCCTTCCCCCATATTTGGTTCCATATCCAAGTCGTCGCTCGTTACTGTATACTAAACTGTTCCACTGTATTACTTGTAGCAGCACTGCTTTGCTGCTGTTCTGTAGGTCTCAATTCCCCTTCTGGTATATTTCCCCTTGCTATACTGCTAAAAAACTATTTCACTGTACTCTTCTTTCTGAATTTCGGAGTTTCTGGCATTTTGCTTGGATTCATGGATCCCACCGCTGCCACCACTTTTGTAGAGTAAATGATCTATTATCTGCTTTATACTTTATCAGCTTAAAGATGCTGCTACAATCTATCACAAACTCTATCCTCTCGACCTCTACAGGTATATACAATCCATAAATAATAAGAGTCTGTGTTGAACTGTCTATATTTAGATATAAAAAGGTAAATAAGTTGACCACATCTAGGGTCAAGTACTAAAAATAACTTATATTTGAGAGTTACAATTAGAATAGGGTTTAATATTGCATAGTTTTATAGAATTAGTCAATAAACTTAAGGTTTTGAACATTGTCTTATAAAGCGTAGCCAAATCGTTACCAAATTGTCATTACCAAATTGTCGCTTTTATGATGTAACGAAATTGTCATTACAAAATTGACACTTTTGTGAGCTTGCCAAAATAGCATTACCAAATTGTCATTACCAAACTGGCGTTACCAAATT